GGGTCAGGGAGACAAAGAGCAAACATAATTATTCCCATTGGACCTCATTACAGTTTTCCTTGTAGTATCATGGAAAGTATATTGCTAAAAAAAAAAAGATAAGGAACTAAGGTGAAAAATCAATGAAATCTTAGCTAAATATATGCAGTTACATATTATTACAGTATGACTCACTCCATCAAGCACCAGCCACTGTAGAAAAAGATCTGCTGCTGCCTACTTGTTCTTCACTGAACATGAATCCTTATTTTGCAAAAAAGACAAAACTAAGTATTAGAATAATATAGATCTTAAAATACATTGCTTTTGTAAACAAGGACTTGGAATATATGTGATGGTTCTATCAGATACAAGAATATTATGTATCATAGTAATACTCATCTTCCACTGCAGAAAGGTACTTCACTTCATTGCTACATAGAAGCGGACATCATCAGCATCTGATCTTAGCATGAATACCTTGTCAATCAAAATATCTTCATTAGAAACTCCAGATTCCAATTCCTACTGAAAGCTGAGAAGGAAAGCTGAAAAAAGCAAGCACTTGGGATTAGAGCTGTGACAGGGTGTCAAAAATGTTGAGAGTTCAGAAATACTGGGGTGGTGGTGGTGAGAGAGAAGTACAGGGAATTACTGAGGGTCTTCATAATCTCCATCCATTATTTTCTAAATAATGGTTGGAGTGAGATTTAAAGTTGTCTAAGAGGCTCCGCTTAAGTTAATGCTGGCTGATTTTAACCTCTCCACCTCTGCCATCTGAAGTTTTTACATAAAAAAACTAGAAAAGAAAATCCCTATAGAGGTAAACATTATGAAAATCTTGTTTTAAGTCCATATCAAAAACTCAGAACATTTTCAGTGGACTCTGATGACATATGAAGGAGGGGTTAAATGCACTAGGAACACATATTGCAGACAAATTCAGCACAGGCTTCATTGTCAAACACTTTTTACACTGACCATCCATCTTCATTATGTTTTATACCACCAGATGGAGCTGCACTATTTGTACTTCTATAGACAATTTTCCTAAGAACTCAGCATTTTACCATCTTGAATAGTTCATCCTTTCTAACAGACTTTTTCCTCCCTTATCTATTTTGCCATTTAAAAATCTGTTACATCAAATCAACTTTTAATTTTCCTCTTCCAGTTCCACAGATGATTACCTCTCAAGGTCAATCACATCTCACTGCACTAATCTAGAGCAAATGCCTTATGAATAATTAAAGGAGGAAAGGAAGATTCTCTTTGTTCTATTTTGTGACAAAAATGACTCGGTTTAAGCCTGGAATTACTTTAATGAGTATTTTGCAGGGCCTGCATTTCTAAAGGGTGAGGTTTTAGCAGCCAGCTCTTCGGGCAATGAAAAGCTAACCCAGTTTTTATTCACATATCTATGGCTTCTGCTTTCCTCATACTGAGTAATTTTATAAACACAGCCTGTGTTGTGCTATCCCATACACACTTTCAAAACACTACTTGGAGACTTTTTAGTATTGACATTTGAAGAAAAAGCCGAGTAGACTGTTTCAGAATGATTCAACTTCACGTTCCTTTAGTGAAGTTGCTTTGAATGGGCCCAGATTATCAGAGGGGAAGTACTCTGGAACACAACTCCTGATCTAGGACCCCACAACTTGACAATATTTGACAAGAGTTAAGAAATCACTATGGGAAGTGTGAGCTCAAGCTTTCCTGCTTCCTTTGGATTGATTTAACCCATAGAGTAAGTGCTACATGAGGAAACTTCTCCCTGGCCTGCATCTCAACACTCTTAAATACACACGGGTTACAAACCAGCAGGCAGCAAAGTACAGATTCAGATGTGTGGTCAGAAGGCCAAAAATCTGCCAGTCATGTTCCGTCTCCTGTCAGGAAACAGGAACTGCAGATCGTCTGAAGAGCGTTTCCTGGAGAGATGGTTTCACACAAGCATTTAAGCCTGGAACAACATCCAGCCACGTCAGAATCAAGGCCTTCATTTTCTCAGTCCAAGTGACTGACAGGGCAGGCCCATGGATTTTGATTTACTGACAGATCAGATTTCACAAAAACAGGATGAAAAAGACAGCATCTAGTAACATTTCAGAAAAGACTGTAGGCAGAGCAGTAATTTTGTAACTCATCAGGTACACTGGACCAAAGTAATATTTAAATCAGCAAATAACACTGCCAGAAAAAAGCCCATCTAACAGGATGCAAGCAGCTGCCATTCAGAATACAAGATGTCTGCTCCCATCGCTGAACATAGAGGGAATTTTCATGTGACATTCAGAGCAGGAGTGACAAAGGAACAGGCTAAGCATCCCTGTTCTAGAACAGTGGAACAGAAATCTAGTGTTTATGCTTTCCAAACTTTCTCCTTCCTCCCTTTCTCATACAACTCTAACACAGAAAAAAATCCAACTTTCCACATACTTTAGGAGACTTTTTACACATTGGAATGTAACACAGGTAGAAAGTGACGAACTCAGATCCATCAAGTAGCCTGATGTTTAAAGCAGAATCAGACTTTGTAAAGATTATATGAAGAAAAACAGAGCATCACTACGCAAAAACAGCCAACTGCTGTGAAAACTTGTTCATTAGTCAGTCCTCTTATTCTTTCCCCTCAAACCTGAAATCATGGTTACACCTACACTAAAAACAGTGTTAATCATAATACCACACAGGATCCTGATTTATTTCAGAGCAAGTTACACAGAGCTCAGCAAGGGTGACAGGTTTTATTATTCTTTATTTACTCTGCCACTTCCAAGAAACCAGATAATTCTATTTTTAGCTCTTATAGGGTGTGATTCAATCAGTAATTTTAAGTATGTTTCACAGCTGATTTAAAACATATACTCCAGGGCACTTAATGGTCAAAAGTTAGAGTGCCCAACTCAGATCTTTTCTTCTACTAGCAGTAGAACCTCAGATCTTTTAAAATACATTTAATTTACTAAGAAATTAAAGGATATGAGGGGCACATAAAGCCTTATAAAAAAAGTGTTAACTCCATGTAGCGAGACTGAGAAATGTGTTGTCTCATTCTTCACTTGCCTCCTTCCCCCCAGTTCCATGAGAGGATTCGAATCCCAAAGTCATGGAATTACCATGACACATCTTTCCAAGCCAAGACCAGACAACTGTAACTCCTTTTTCCACCTCCACACCCGCTCATTATCCAGGTACCTCAGATCCATCCATTTTGTCCACCTTCATCATCTAATACGCTTCATAAACACTTAAAGTTTTACTCCATCTTCCTTTGCAGACACCACTGCTTCTCCTTCCATATATCCAATACATACTTAAGAGCCCCTGAGTAAAAAACTGCAAGCGCTGCCACTAAGACCAAACAGAGACAAACTCTTCTCACATATTAGTGTCCTCAGTTTATGAACCTTGGTCTAGAAACTTGCCAGCAGCTGGGGGAAGCTGCTGTTTTGGACCCATGTCCCAGAATTGCCTTTAAGTCAGAATGTTTTCAAGCCTACAAGAGGAGCTACTGTGTTACTCTGATTGCTATAGATGAGATTACATAAGCCATTTTGATTTAGGTACTGATCCAAGCCCATCCTAAAATTAAAGGCATTCAGAACTCAAAGACTTGGCCCAAAGTCAAAGATGCAAGAGTTCAGCACTGCTCACTTTGCCTTTTCAGCACTGGTGGGAAGCAGTAATTTAACGTATGGATAGAGATTAAGTAAGGTAAGACAGATCATGTCTGCATTGATTGTATTATAGACTAGACAAAGGCACATATGAAACATCTGTTGGACTAAAAATATAACACGTGAGTGGAAAAAACAGCTATACCATTTGGAATTGGAAAAGACTAAATTTGAATTCCCAAATTTAAGCATTTCCAGCCATGAACTACTTACCAGTATTCTGCAGTCCAAAAAACCAAAGCTCACAGTTAACGGCTGCTAGTTAAGTAATGTCACCATCATATTTTCCATACTCCCAGCTTTTAACAACTTCTCCATTGAGGCTGAGAATTTCCATGTTTGGTATGAAACCAAGCCATAGCACTGGAATTTCTCTTGGTTGATGTGAAATGAGGGAAAATCCACTTTTGTTCAGGTCAGAACAAGAGAAGAGTTTAACCACTAAAAATACAAAACAAAACCCTCAAGTGGACCGATACCAAGTCGTTAAACCAATTGCCTTCCAACACCTCTTGTTTCAGGAATTTGCTTCTGTGGGTAAAAAAGAATCCGCACCCCCCCTTTTTTTTTCTAGAAATAATTCTGCTTTGTGGAGACTTTGTTCTTACTGAGCATTAAAATGGCAACTACTTATCCTTCTCAAAACCTACAGTAAAGACAGCTAACAATGACAACAGAGCTTATTTGGCCAGATCCTCAAGTGGTAATAACACAAGATGTTCCACTCAATCCTTTTCCTATTAAAGGACACAAAAGTTTTAAAAGAAGTTACTAAACATTTTGCTCTCATTTCCTGTTTCAGGTGTTATACTTCTATAGTCCACAAAACATTTTTGTGATGTATACCACATGAATTGTACTAGCAACTTCCATTTGGAGTTTGAGCTAAGAGAGCTACCAGCAGTTTTTGATTAAGCTCTTGAGTAACTCGCAACCAAACCAAGAAACATCCATCAGAAGTAGTTAAAAACAGAGGAAGTGGCCAGCAGCCACTAAGCTTCACACCATTCAGTTAGCATAAATATTTCACATTTATACATACATTTTCAGATAGTGCTGGCAACACTTTCCAATACCAAAAATCATGAGGGTTTTAGTTCATCTTGCAACTCTGCTTTTAGCTTTAAAATGAAACCCACATCCCTTCACATGAATACACACTTTCTAACACACTGCATACTCTGCCCAATTAACCATTAAAAATCCAAGCCATTTAAAAATACTGAACAAGAGTTTTGGGGCAGCATACACTTCTCTCATGTTTATTTCATTACTCAAATCCTGCCAGAAGCCATTTTGTGGGTTGACCAATAAGCTGCAACACAGATCAGTCAAAACTCATGTCAAACTGCTTTATTACATCTTAAATAACATTACATTTTAATATAGTATCTATCTTGCATCCAGCTTTCTTGAAGTACACTGACTTTAAAATTAAATACAAAAGGTGAAGAGGGATACAGGGCGTGGAGAAAGCTCTACAGAGTAGTTTCATGAAAGAGAGTAAGAGGGAATTCATCTTTTATGCCAAATCCAGGCCTAACGCACAATTACAGCACATTTTTGTACAGAATGTTGCAGAAAAAACAAAATGGAGAAAAGCTACTACTGCTGCTAGGAAGGAGCATTTCTGGATACAGTGAGAAGATAGGAAAGTTTAACAGAACAATCTGCTGTCCAAACACTGCTGCTTTTAACATTTTATTTGAAAAGAAAGCCAGGAAAACCTGCGCATTACAAAAATGACTCTGATCAGATGCAAAGGACTCATCCTACAAGAGGAACTGGCTGTGAGGAACTGATTTATAAAGAAGATGGTCTAGGTTCCCTCCTCCCACACCCCAGAATCTTTGACAGCGATTGTTTGAACAGGCTGTTTCTTTAAAAAAAAAAGTGACTTATCACGCTACTCCAAAACGTGCATAGCTTTGTACTTGAGTTCTTCATAGATTTATGCACAGAGTAGCAACAATAAATGAATACAGCGACAATGGTTACAGTTTTTAAACAGGTTATTTCTTCAAAGAAAAAACATCTAAGGACTTAGTCCAATATGCACTTTTTAGCATTTCTACAGCATGCGATTCTAAGAGTAAACCCACCCAATATGGCAAACAATCAAAAAAGGTTTTTTTTGTTTAACTTAGAAAGTTCAAGATCATTATTTTCAAAACATTGATTTGTACATCATTTCATACACAAAGAATTGACTCAATACCCAAGTGTAGGATAGGTCTCTTTTGAAAACAGAGATTCCTGGTTGTTGAGACTTACAGGATAGTGTTAGGATATATAAACTGCCCTTTCAAGTGGACAAAACCAAAACAGATTAAAAAAATCAGTGTGGTGAAAAAGGAGGGGGCAGGAGGGACCAAGGATTGCAATTGTTACCCATAAAAGGTGAAAAGATTCTTTAAACAAGCATTCATTACCTTTTACAGCATGTGCTTGGTTACCTTACTGCTTAACATTATCCTATATATGCCAAGTTTTGTGCAACAATTATCTGTGATACTAGAAAATAAAATAAAAAAAATTAGGGACTAAATTTACAGCGTTAACAACCCCCAGATGCTCTGGGCTAGGACTCCCTTGTTTTGCTCAATTAAATACATAAAGAAATGTATTTAAAAAGGAAACTTGAAAAAAATCCTGCTACAAACATGACTTTAAAATTTGCAAGTGTGTGAGATAAAGTCCTTAACTTCAACTTGGAAACTACAGTGAAAGCTAACTGTTTCACAATTATGCTCAAGTTTATTTTCTGGTCATGCTTTTATGATAGTGTTTCATTTTTAAATTCTCAAGACAAAAAAAAATGGTCCCAAAAGGAATGCACAATTTCATTTTGCTTACAACACAGAAATTCTTCTTGGAAAGGTAATTGTGCTCTTCATTTCAGCAACAGGAGACGGAAAAGATCTTGCCCTTTGAAGTTGGGGAGGATGGGGGTCCAAGTTAGTATGGTTGGATTGGATATGCTATCATTTTTAATTTTCAACCGTTGGAAACTTCTTCCAGTCATGGAGTCCGCCGCTCTTCTGACACACAGAAAGATTTATTAAGAGTTGCACTTTGATAAACTGTAATCAAGTTTCAAGCTTTGCTCTTGCTACCCACTGACGCAATTAGTCATTATCTCACCATTTTCAAGAAAGCCATTTATTTACCAACCCAGATTCAAATGACCATACAGTCATCCCTATCAGGAAAATAAAATAGGCCAAAAATAGTTCACCACAAAAATGCCATTGCATCCATTAAACAAATGGCCTTCTAAAAAACCAATTTTTTTTCCTTCAGTGACTTTCCTAATCTGAACTATACGCTTGTAGAATCAGTAACATAGCACTGTTTGGACCTGGAAAAAGCATTCTGAATATGAAACAAAGACAGACTTAATTAGATACCTACCTACTTCAGTTCCAGATCTTGAGGAAGCTGTCCCATGATCCTGTTGCCACTGCCATACCATCGTCAGTCACACCTAAGCAACTGACACGGTTATCGTGACCAGCAAGGACACCTACAAATCGGAACACGTAACAAATCTTACTTTGCATTACTTGGATAATTTCACATTTCAGTTCAAGTAACAGAGACAAGCATGTTTGGATTAGTCAACTTATACATTCAAAAGGTCCTGAACAAACATGGCAGAATTTTTAACTGCTTTTGGCTTTATAAGCACAAACTGAGATATAACTGTGTAGGTTTGCAAGGGGGTAATTCAGTAAATGCATTACTCCAAAATTTTCTTTGTATATTCCCCACATTATGACATTTATTGGTTTCTCATGACTTGTGAAATCACAGCCCCAGAAATTCTGCTGACAGCATCAAAGCTATATAGTATAACCATGCACTGCACAGCTCTTAGTATTTTCTCTCCATAGTGCTAAAGATCAGTTAGGTTTTACAAACTTTTTTAATGTGTAAAATCAGAGGTTAAGCTGAATCGTTATGAACACTAAAGCAATTTTATTTTACTACTTTACAAGCACTTACAAGACTTAAACTCCTACATACAGTCTATTTGTCAATATGGAGATCTGCTACAATTCAATTATAGTACCATTAAAAAAAGAATGGAGACACTAAACAGAAAAATTAAGTAAGCCAACGTTTTCCTCTATCCCCTTTAATTTAGCAGTTTCAAGGAGGTAAAAAGAAATTCTGATTATGTTCGAGCTCTTTCCAGTCCACAGCACTGAGCTAAGATATTCTTTATCAACTTAAAAATTAGTTTTTCTATATCAGTTGCACTGCTCATAGGACCTCCATTTATGTTTTGGGCTTTTCCCCTCCATTTACTATTCTCCAAGACAGAACATGAATTAAGGCAGTTTTAGATCTTAGGCAAACTAATATATTTAAAAAATTATTATTTTATTAACTGTTAATTCATGTAAAAATGAGTACTTCGTACACAAGGATTCTTGATATTTGAAGTTATATTTCTGATATACTTTATACAAGCAGTAACGCTGTGTAACACCGTTAATCTCCAGATCCTATTAAATTCATAGAAGTGTCTAAGCATCAGCACAGAACTGTGCAGTTCTGCAGCTGAAGCCAAAATGTAAGTGCTGAAGCAGATGATAAAAATCTTCAGAAATTCAGCACTGGCAGCTGGCTTACATATCGCACTAACAGAATTACCTACAGTTACCTACAATTTACTGTGGCAATAACATTAACATATCAAAATTCAGTCCACCATCAAGTGCTGCAATTTGGTATAACAAAGAATGCCAAGAAGCCTTATACAATGTGAACTGAATACATAACCACAGAGGTGTTTAATATAGAATCAGGCACGATATAAGCGACAAATCTGCTCAACAATCCTGTGTCAGATATTTCAATAAGCAGAATACCTGACAAAGTAGTTGTTTAAATCAGTTCTAAAGCTTGGCAATAAACAACCACACTTCATGAGTACATGGACTGTAAACCCAGATCACTATAAAGAATTGTTTCTCGTTTCTACAGGTAATCAAGATCACCACCTCCTGCTGTTCTTTTTCTTAATGAAGGTCTTTCAAAGAAAAGATACAGGGAAAAAACCTACATAATGATTTTTACAGTACTTAAATACAGCCAATTATAAACTAACCTACATATTCATCAAGAGAAATTTGTCTCCAATATAGGCTTATATACACATTTATGGTCTCAAAAACCAAAGTACAAGAATCTCAAGTTGTAAATCTCAACACGCAGATCAGGCTAATTCATTAAATGCATTTCAGTACTGAAATAATTGTATTTGGCCTCATTAACTTGCAAGTAGAACTAAATGCTCTTTTACATGTGAACTGAGTGTTCACCATTTCAACTTCTCAGCACTGATAAAAACTATAATGAATTTTGGAAGAAACAAAGAATAAAATCTGAGTGGTAAAACAAAGTTGATAGAGACAGAAGTTAAAAACCCAGTGGAAATTATTTTGGTATAGTCCAGGATTATATGTTTGTTTATATTTTTTTCTACCTGCAGTATATCCTCCCCTCAAAGCAGTGAGTCAATTTGCACCCAATAATCCTTTCAATGGCACATGGAAGAATATTCTGCTTGGCTGGTGTTTTTTGTTTGCTTTAAAAAACCACCTAGGATAATTTTAAAAGCCTGGACCACTTTCTCTGGTAACAGAGTAGGTCCTTGTTCTCATCCCCTTGCAGCCTAATTTATACCTTTTCTCCTTTCTTTCTAATATAAGTTTTCATTTTAAAGAACTGAAATTAAATCATCTTAATCTTCAGACCATAAATTTCATATTAATTTCCTCAAAAGATAATCTCCTCAGTGTTCATTGTTTTGCCGGTTGTCTCTACAGTTACTGCTACAAATAGCAGGAAAAACATTCTTTTATATAAATAGCAACATTAATGTTGAATTGCTTTGAACAGTTCTACATTAAAAAAAAAAAAAAATCCTTCACCCCCAAAACTGTTTTTATTGGCAATCTTCCTGTTCTCACGCATCCACTGTTTTCTTCTACCCTTTAGCAGTATTCCAATTTATTTGTTAACGTCATTAAGCTACTTTCATCATTAGTTGTCCTAAATGAGGTCATTACAGAATTTTAAAGTTGAGGCAGCGCATGCTAACAGGTCTGTGCATATGACTCATCTCACACATTCAGTGTGTCAAGCTGTATTTATAATATTTAAAACCAAAGAAATGTTTACCTGCTCTATCAGCTTTCAGTGTGTCCCAGACATTGCAGTTGAAGTCATCATAACCAGCTAGAAGGAGACGTCCACTCTTGGAAAATGCTACAGAGGTGATGCCACAGATGATGTTATCGTGTGAATAAACCATAAGTTCCTGATCAGCCCGAAGATCAAAAAGCCTGCACGTAGCATCATCCGAGCCTGTGGCAAATGCATTGCCATTTGGGAAGAACTTCAAAGGGGGTAGGGGAGGAAGGAAAAAAGACACATGATTTTAGACTCGATTCCTCTGTTTCATTGAATATACCATTTTGTACAGACCAAGGGGAAAAAGAAAGCAGCAAAGACAAGTATACACCTCTCCACTACCGGAATATGGGCAAAACCAGTAAAATAGTTAACAACAGCCACTGTTTCCATATACCACAATGGATCTGAAGTTATGCAAATTTCAAGTACTTTTCCCCAGCTACAAAAACTATTAACTAAAGAAAATATGCCACAATACTATATCAAACACTACATGCTTAAGAGCTGAGACCAAAGAAATGTAAACATACAAATTTAAATCCCATGTCCTCTGTTCAAGTGGATACATACAGAGATGGCATTGATATCCGACTCATGGCCAGTGAAGGTTTGCCGACACATTCCTTCTCTAACATCCCACAGTTTGGCAGAGGCATCACAGGCACCAGAAACAAAACACCGGGCATCAGGAGCAAGAGACAAACTCATGACATCTCCAGTGTGCCCAGTAAATGTAGTTGTCTGCTGACCAGTTTCTATGTCCCAGAGAGCGCTTGAAAGAAAATTGAAAAGGCGAAAATTAACATATTTGTGCTCCATTAGAAGGTCTAGATAGCAATTTTTGTCTAAACCTGTTCATTTATGTCACTGCTAAAAGAAAAACTCCATCAAGTATTAACAAAAAATTTACTGAATATAGTTCAACAAAGTGTTTTTTCTACTTAGCAATGTTACAGGATAATTGTACATAGAAGATTTAAAAAGCCATCCTCAATTTTAAAATATTGGGGGTTTTAAATTGAAAAACAGTGCAAAAAAACTAATGACTAACACTCATGGCTATTTATACACAAAGTTGTTGTGACACACCAATGACTATTGTCCAGTACTACTACAAGCTGGATTTAAAGCAGTAGTGGTAAGGCTACAGCAAAAGCTGGACCAGCATTTCTAATTTTTAAAAACTCACTGACTATTTGTAACTTTGTGAAATACATCTGTCATCTAAAAGCTGCACCACTTTCCCAGGATTGCAAAATCACTGCTACAGTGGTGACAGTATAAAAGGAAGAACACTATCACCTCCCTAACAAGAGTTCTAAGCACGTAGAGAAAGCTAAGGATTTTTATTTTCTGTAACTTCTCAGTAAACCAGACCCATCAGTGGCAGATTTGCACTAGGCAAGCAGAAGATGACTATACTTTCATACTGTACTTTGAAGCTTGGCTGAACTGATGTCAAGGACAAACTGTTATCCAGACAACTGTAGAGTTACTACAATAACTCCTGAAGCAGTTGTATTCTCTTACAAAGAGCATAATTTTAATAAATCCTGCCTTTTTTTTTTTTTTTAATACCAACACGTATTTAGAAACATTTTTGTATAAATAACAAACAGATATTCAATAGCTACTCAGAATCAGTGGACTAATAGATGGGCATTCAAAGAGACTGACACTGTGTAGGTGAAATATTTCAGATAACCTTTGCTATAAGAACTGCTGCTTGGGAGAGCTGTAATGGTTTTAAGAATTACATATAGTAGAAAAATCTATGAAAAAAGACTGAGGTCTTCTTTTCATTCAGAAGCTAGTATTTATTAAAATATATACCTACATTCTCCTCAAAAAAACCCATCTACTGTAACTGTAGAATATTTTCTAGGAGCTCTTCCGAACAGCAACATAAACTAAATTCTGTATTAGAAAAATCTAAATGCCACTTTTAAAGTAATAAATACTGAATGCTAAACAAGTTTGAGAAAAGCCATCATTCTAATACACTTATGTCTGAAAGCCATAGTAAAAAAAATTCCCCATACTATTTGAGCACAGGGAATTAGGTTAAGCTGTTTAGAACGTGGGCATAACTCAATAGCCAAAGCTAACAAACTTGGAAGTCCAGGTTCCCCATTAATAGTAAAAATGTGACATACGAACAATAATCAAACACATTTAGTCTTCTGGATGACTATCACATTTACAAAGAATAATGTTTCCTTCAATAATAGTGTATGGCTGTGAAAAGTCATTACTACCAATCAAAATGTCAAAATTTTACTGCTTACCAAGTGGTGTCGCCAGAGCTGGTAACGATTTGATTATCATCCAAGAAACGACAGCATGACAAGTATCCTGAAAACAAAATAAGAAGTTGACGAGTAAGACCAGAGATTACTCTTCACGTTGCATACAGGCTTGCTTGTATGTTGCTTCCTCACCTCCTGAAGATGCAGCAAGAACTACTGTATAAACCTAAAATACAACACAGACAATTTTGTCTAGGAACCTCCAACATTTCGGACAAAATGTAGTTTGGGTCTTTACAGACCATGCCCAACTCAACCACTACATTGGCACAGTGACACACTGGTATCCCAGCAAGTCAACCTGAAAAAAGATATAACAGAAGAAAATGAACCTAAGCAGCTTAACCAAACAGGGTAGACACTGTTTTGGAAATACCTTGCCAATTTTTCTTTTTTGGTAGAGAGGAAGAGGAGGAGAGAGAGAGAGTAGTGAGGCAGAAGTGTGGAATCTGCTGGCCAAACTGGAGAGAAGGATAGGTAACCCTGCACTATATATACTATACTTCCTTAGGAAGTGGATCTATGTGGCACTGTATCCAGAAGCAACAAATGCTTACGACAGCTGTATCATACAACTACTGAGAAAAAATGAACTGCATTCTTGGTGAGTACAAAGAACAGAGCATATATACTGGATGTTTCCCAACAGTGGCATCAAAGAACTTCATCTGAATGCTCTGAAGCATCTTTGTACTGAAGTACCATATGCCAAACCATCAACAACTGATGGTAATATTAGTCCATCCTGCTGGTCACCTCTATTTCACAAAGCACAAACGTCCTCTGAAAATCCAAACTACAGCAAAATATGAAAACCTGTAAACATCAGCTTCCTGCTATAGGCTTTGTTCAATTCTGCAACAGAAAAGCACCTCACTGAAACTGTTCCTTTGAGAAGATTCCACATGAACTGGTCAGGTCTCAGATGTACTCCTTTGACGTCCCTTGCATTACAGCAAAATTCTGCTTCTCTCATTATGTAAAAATCGATGTTTTCCCAGCTATACAGTTTATAACCAAAGAGACCATTAAGCAACTAGAATATCACAGAAACAATACTCTTTTTATTACTAAAATATTTTCCCATATTTTGATACACACACAGAGCCATATACTGAAAAAGCCCAACTCCGTGTGTCCAAATATATTCCAATTTTCCCTGTGTCCTGAAGGGCAGGAGGTGAGGCGAGAAGAGTACCTTCTTAGAAACCACTTCACTGGTCACATCACAACCACTATCTGAAGGTCAAATCAACACTGCATTCTCACACCCTTTACATCCAGGGGGTACACAATAAATTACATAAATCATGATTTGTAAGAAAAACAGCTGAAAGAAAATTAAATAGCATTAAGTAGCCTTTAATTCACATTTCACTTTTTCCATACAATTCATTCATGTGTAACTATTTACTTCTGAGTAACCTTATTTTCCTTCAGTGAACAGTCTTTATACCATTCTCTTTATTCTGCATAGTTAGAGGCTTGATCAGGCAGAAAACCAGCAAGACAGAGCCCACCTGACATTTTCTCTAAAGAACTGCTGGAGGTTTTCTCTGAAGCCAAGCTGACAGCCTCTAGAGCAATCTACCTTTGTTTTGGATTACACTCTTTGTGGAAACAAAGAGACCATAAAGATGACATGCAGTTTCAGAGCTGCAGCTTTAGGAGAAATGCCTAGTTACAGGCCATTCCTTTTCTCAGATTGTTGGAAGTATTACTGATTCCGCAAGAATGTAGAAGTCTACTGATGTGTGACAGGCTCAGTGCTACACTAGTACTTTACAAGATGCCAGAGTGCCTGCTAAATACCCAATGTTTTAATTTTCAATGGAGTTCAAAAAACCACCCACCCACTTTCCTCTGAAGAATTTCCATTCCCATTCACAAAGACAAAAAAACAAAAATACAATCTCTCCATTATCAGACAACATACAAAACCAGTTCACATTTTCTAGGTTACTACTGTTTAGAAGGTCCTCATCTCCATTAACTGTACATTCTTCAGAAAGCAAAAATACCTTCAGTCACTGAATTTGCTTGCACCAAATTTGAATGTATTGTGTGACACTGAGTCTCTTGGTTTGTTCAGAAACAAAAATTTTCAACTCACCCCATACTCTTAAAACACTAGCTCTTAAGCACAATGAGGGATCTTCTTGCTTCAAAAACTCATCAACATCTGTGTTTCTACAATCCTTCTTACCTAACAAGATTAATTTTGCTTCATCTGTCACTAAGAGAACTTCACAGCTACAGTTTACATCCTGAATCACCAGACAAAGCCTACAAGTCTACCTGTCCCTTCTCATCTATCACAAGACAGTCCACCTTAGAAACAGAAACTGAAGGCAAAAGTTAAGCTACTGTATTTTGGGGAGAAGGGACAGAAGGAGAAACAAAAGAGGAAGTCATGAGAACTCAAACCTCTGGAACTAAAGAATGGCTCTATCAGAAGGCAGCTGTCTTGCTATGAAAAGTTAAAATATTCCTATTATACTTCCTTTGTTCAAAGAGTATCACCCTTGAAGTTTTTAAAAGGACAGGAAGAAAACATTTAAAAACAGGCAGTACGCAGCTACAGTCCTACACAAGAAAGAGATGCACAATGAAGTATATCTCTGTAATTGGGAAATTCTATCTAAAAGATTTTTTTAAAAAATCTTCACCATGTGCTTAGGTAACAGATCGTTCTGAACAGGCACTCACCTGTGTGACCAGCTAGTTCACGGCTGACACGTACATTCCCTTCACGAGTTTTCAAGTTATAAATGGAACAGATGTTATCAAGACCACCACAAGCCACGTAATTTCCAGAAGGAGCATATGCACAAGTCATGACCCAAGACGAACGCAGGGGAATAGCATGCACCTGAAACAGATACATTAATGTATTTAACCTGCAAAACAACTGATTCAATAACTTACCATCAGGAAGATTTTCACCTGTCTCTCAAGATATACATCATCTTTTTGTCAAAAGGACAAGAAAACTGTGACAAGAAAAGTCTTTGCCTGTTTAAGTATCCAACTATTTTGAGAGTAACTTGCATATATAGCTCATCAGACCAAGTAATGACGTAATAAAACCTCAGATTTGCCTTTCCTGAATCCAGATTAATCAGCAATTTTGGTAAAAACTAAATTATTTCATTTCAGTGCTCTGATTACTATTGGTTTATTATAGGTTCAGGAAAATACCAACTTCCAAGTGCAGTCAGCAAAACTGCCAATTCCAGGCTTCGATGCTATGCTATCAATGAACAAGTAAGGAAATCGCTACTTTCACTGCCATTTAAATCCTTCTTTGGAAATCCATTGCAAGCAATCAAGCTTCATATTTAAATAACTACCCCACATTTCCTTGTCATTCTGTGCTCAAAGAACTTTATTTAAAAAAATTATTTAAGCTAAAGCTGTTCTGTTTTGTTAACTCATTGCATTCATCCTTCAAACGTGTTCATAACATCTTTAAGAAAGGAATCGTATCATTACATATATTGTTATATTTCATGCGATACTAACAATCTTGATTGTTTAGTTAAGAAATGCAGAAAGATTACTGTCTGTTGCTCTGCTGCTACAATAATTAGTGAACCTGGAGCAATCGGCAGCTAAAAACCAATGCACTGCACTAAAAACACAGCCAGCTCATTTTTGGAAGTCTTCTACCAAGGAACTAATCAGAATATTCACCTTGAGCCATTTTACTTTATCCTTAGGAAAATATCATTCTGATGACAAAGGTGTTACTGCCAATGTGTGCTGCAACTGCCAGAAGAATCTCTGCAGACTATCATCCAAGTATATTTGCATTAGCTGCTTCCGGGTCCTATCTGGTCAAATTTAATACTGTTTCAACACCAAGCTGTTTGCTACCTATGATTCCAGAGGATTTGTGGTTTGGTTTTCTGCGGTTTTTGTTTGCGTCACTTTTTTTTTTACTTCTTTTGGAACAGGGGAGTGGTTGTAGGTTTTTTGGTTTTAACTCAGTTGCCATTTCACTGAATCAATACTGTCAATAGGTATGGGGGGAGGATGTTTTTTGCAGCTGAAGAGTTCTATTTATGATTCTACTAAAAACTTTACCAGTCTAGTAACAACCTCTGATTCCATTCCCCCCAGATAAGAAGGCTGTAGTTTGCCTCTTGATGACGCCATGGATTAATTAGCATTCATATAAGAATTGAAGATACGAATATGGAAAACATGGTATACAGTAATTATTTTACCATCTTATCTTTTGGTTGTTACAGTAATTTTGATCACATGTACCTTCAGGCTGAGGTCAAAGGAGGACAATGAATGCAAAAAAGGAAGGGTTTATTTTTATTTTGCAAACAGTATTATTTCTGTTTACTAAAGTTATGGATTCATTAGTTTCACGATTGGGAATCAGCAATAATCCCAGCTTTAGGAGTTGCTGCTGCAGTTGTTCCCTGGTAACAGTAATCATAACCAGCAAATGCCAATCACTGTCACATGAAAAGAAAAGTAATCCTGAGCTGCATCATGTGATTGCAGCCAGAAAGTGATGATCCAGTACATATGGCTTGATGGCCAAGTGCAGAGCAGTGACGAGCGCCGTTCCTCAGGGGCCGGGGCTGGGCCCGGCGCTGTTTAACACCTTTGTTGGTGACACGGACAGTGGGATCGATGCACCCTCAGCAAGTTCACCCACGACCCCGAGCTGTGTGGTGCGGGGACACGTGGGAGGGCAGGGATGCCATCCCGAGGGACCTGGGCAGGCTGGAGAGGGGGGCCCGGGCAAACCTCATGGAGTGCAACAAGGCCAAGGGCAAGGCCCTGCCCAGGGGCCGGGGCAATCCCCAGCACAAACCCAGGCTGGGCGAGGAGCGGCTGGAGAGCAGCCCCAAGGAGAGGGACTGGGGGTGCTGGTGGGGGGAAAACTGCCCGTGAGCCAGCACCGTGCGCTCGCAGCCCAGAACCCACCCGTGCCCTGGGCTGCAGCCAGAGCAGGGGGGGCAGCAGGGCCAGGGAGGGGATTCTCCCCCTCTGCTCCGCTCTGGGGAGACCCCCCCCACAGTGCTGGGGCCAGCTCGGGGCCCCCAACAGCAGAAGGACACGGAGCTGCTCGAGCGAGGCCAGAGGAGGCCACGAAGATGCTGGGGGGGGCTGGAGCAGCTCCCCTGGGAGGCCAGGCTGAGAGAGTTGGGGGGGTTCAGCCTGGAGAAGAGAAGGCTCCGGGGAGACCTTCGAGCGGCCTCCCAGGGCTTAAAGGGGGGACAGGAAAGGTGGGGAGGGACTCTTGATCAGGGGGTGGGGGTAGGACGAGGGGTGACGGGTTTAAACTGCAAGCGGAGAGATTTAGATGAGATCTAAGGCAGAAATTGTTCCCTGTGCGGGGGGTGAGGCGCTGGCCCAGGGTGCCCAGAGCAGCTGTGGCTGCCCCCTCCCTGGAAGGGTTCAAGGCCAGGTTGGACGGGGCTGGGAGCACCCTGGGCTGGGGGAAGCGGTCCCTGCTGCCCTGGGCAGGGGAGTGGAACTAGGTGGTCTTTAAGGTCCCTTCCAACACAAACCATGATGTTGGGTCTTTCAATATGTAACTGCAGACAAGAGATTGCTATGACCACTCTCATGCAACATGCTGATTACTCCTTTCTCTCTATTGATTAATTTATCTGCAGTACCCACACAAATCAAAACATTCTCTAGAATTAAGTATTTCATTATTTTCACTTGTGGTGCACATTTCCATACGCAACACACTTAAAACACTGCTATATTATTTAAATGCAAACTTTATTATTTTGGAGAATTAAAAAAAAAAAATCGGTCTTAGGACTATGAAAGTAATGCATCCAAAATCATGACAAGTACACTGCTTTTGAATCTACAATGGAATTACATAGCAACGTATCAGTCAGTCTTACCTTGTTTGTAGTATAGCTGTCCCAAATGATAAGTTTGCCATCCTGGGAGGCACTAACTAGAAGCCTAGAGAGGAAACAGAATATAAGCACAATCATTACAGGAAAGCGAGAAGGAACATCTTTGCAATGACCATCTTTGTGATAGCAATTGTTTCCACTATCAAGGCCAAGGTACTTGAAACAATTTAAATACAGTGCAGCATTACCCAATTCAGTTATTATCACTATAAAAATAATTTTGCAAGACTCCATTTTAATGCTAAATATAATGGAAATGTGTGATTAAACACCTACATGTTAACACATTTGACTGCAGGAAAAACTGTAGCCATGTAACATCTCAATCTTGAACACTGAGGGAGAAAACCTGCACGGAATCAGTGTTTCTATGTTCTACACACAGGCTTCAGACTCACTGAGTTCGGGAATCTACACTAACATGTTTTCCTTTTTCCTGTTTTTAAAACAGGAATTTAAGTTTTAAGACATCCAAAAATCCTGACTGGATATCAGCACTGAAATACAATGGAAATTAAACGCAGCAAAGATATCACTAAAAGAAAGGGTAGCATTAGGCACATTTTTACTCTAAATCAACACCACGTCAATCACCCACCCAGCAATAATGTTTGAAACACGGTGCACCTAATTAATTGTTCAGAGCTTTCTTACCTGCTCTTAATCTGTTTAAAGATAGATCAAGTATACTGACATGAAGAATCTGTATTGTCTCCACATTTACTAAATTACTATGGATAAAATAATCCAATGTGGTATTCAAATTTGTTCTGTGCATCACCTTCTGACCGTTTCCAAGCTGAACAATACAGTGTAATCAATGAAATACTCCAGTCTCTCTGCATTAATTTATTTTTTTTGCTCTAGGTTATATTTTAAAGCTGTGTTGAAACACTTTGGGCCAAACAAGAAATAGAAAATCCATTTTTAAAATAAGCTATATGCCAAAAAGACACCTGAAGCAATGAATTCTATGTAACTTTGAGAAACTACCTTCTGCAAGCATAAAAGACAGGTGAGTTAGTGTTTTGCAAAGTAACAATTGTGTTTCTTCTGATTTTTAAGTACTAAGTAATTCAGAAACTAAGTTTAACACATCATGAATTATTTTTGGTCTTCACAACGCACACTGTCTTCTCTGTTAAGCACTTGACTATTTTGCTTTAATGTATTTCCTGTATGCATTCACACAAGAGTTAATGCAATTCTTTCAAAAGGCACAGCTTGTTTACACAAATTTGGTAAGAATGTAACTTTAACATCAAACTTCCTTTGAAAAAATCTCTACTGAGTAGAAAAAGGCTAGCTATAATTTACAAACTCCCTGGTTGCAACTTAAAAATTCCTAAGTGGAACTTTTTTTTAATCTGTTCCAGCAAGGAAGCAGCAACATATTCTTTTAACCAAAGTTTGAAAATTTGCTGCCATTAGTGTGCCTTAGAATTCTTGTAAAGAAATGAGAATGAAAGTAGCTGATACTAGTATAATTTAGTTTCTCTCTAAATGACCAGTAGTTAACAGGAAGCATTTAAGTTCCTCAGAATTTATGTGGTAACACAACTATATTTTTCAGGCAAGTAGGTGGAGACCGGTATTTTGGCACCAAGTTTAAGTTTGGATCACAAAAACATGGATATAAGGAGGAAAAAAACAGATATTAAGTATTTTGGAATTCTCTTGGTTGTCTGAGTTCTCTTGGAATTAGTGGTTCCTAGTGGTATAAACAAGAATAAGAGTCCTGTGCACTCAACTTCCCAAAGAACAGTGAAGCCGCATGATCCCGTTTTGTATCACTAGCACCCACCTGGAATCAGTCCCCCAGTGCATTGCATAAATTTTAGCCAGGTGTCCCCGGAGTGTTCTTCTAGTGCGCATTTGAATTCTCCCCACTGGGTCAATATTGGCTGTGATCTGAAATAGGAATGGTGTCACACACTGCATTTTTCACTTCATAATTCCAACAGTAACACAATAACATGTAAAAGAGCATTCCAATGCAGACCAAAGCTCCACATTTTGAATATTGACTGAGGTTTTAAATATTGACTAATCAAAAGTTACATCATTTTATGTAGCATGTCTTTATCAAATGAAGAAAGCAGCCTCTCTATCATAATAAAAGATGATCCAATTAATTTGTTTAGGTCATTTCTTGTCAGACTTCTAGGATTTCAGGTCTTTGATCAGGGTTTTCTACTCCTGTATAGATAAATGTGGTAGACTAACTTTTTTTTTTTTTCCAGACGGGTGGGTGTGGGGAGGTATATCAGGCTTTTAACACATCTCCACTTTTAAAAGATGAACTAATAACTTGCTTTCAGATCCAAATGGCCTTCCCTTCCAAGTACAAGATTATTAAATTCATAGTATTCTTGATTTATTTAACTTCTTGAAGATAAAAGTAGTCTCTGCAGTAAGTGAATAGCAAAGTGAGGAAGTAATCAGTTTAGCTGTCCTTCCACTGCTAAATCCAATGTAAGTCAGTCCTCCAGTCTGGAGGGAAGTATCAGTTTAAAAAAAGCACAATACAGCACAACACACTTCCAGTACTTTAAGTAGTGCACACCACAACAAATCCAAGAGTTCCTAAGTTTGTTTTATGGATAATGTCTGCATACTTCACATGTCTCCACGTTACAAAATTCTTTAGCAAGTGCATTTGAATAAAGATCTCTGCTTCTTTTCAAATGCTATCAACACAGCTTAGGACTCAGATGGACAGATAATAATGCTTCCCTGACATAAAACTCCTTTCATGGCGGACATCTCTTGTATTAACTAATACTGAAGCTTTTATTTTTTTTTCCTTTTTTCATATTTTCTCCCCAGAAAACACTCAGCAATGTGCCTCACATATAATGATATCACAAGATATGTGGCACTCAAATGTTGCTATTACCTTTATTACCTGATATTTTGGTTACATTTTAAATTAATAAAATTACATCAATCACTTATGTACCAACTATTCCAAATCAAGACACACAGGATTAATAGTCAACATTCAAGAAAATGGACTGAAGTAGGTGATAAGAGTAAACTGATTCATGATGTGTCTAGAAGAAAAAAAGCAAAGGTTTGCCACCTCTTTCAATGCCATAATTATCTGTTCTGATCTAAATTCCTACCAGATTTCCAGAAAAAAAAAATCCCACAGTATCTCCATGAGATGTACTACAGAGTACAGAATTCCATTTCCCTAAGTTAATATTGGCTGAAGCCAAGCCAGTAGGATCAAAATGTGACAGTACAGCAGGATGCAAGCATATTAGCTCAGGTTCAGAAGCAGTTCAGACATAAGTGCACCATCGTGTGGAAATTAATAAGTAGGTTAACCTCAGCAGGTCTTATGGTTCAGATTATCATGTTAATGCAATTGGTACTACTATCACCATCTCCCTCAGCAGAACACTGGGTCTCCCCTGCATTATTTTCCATTGAGCAGTGAAGGTGTGCCCTGAGTCACTTAGAGAAACTACTGCTCACAGCTACCTCTATCAGAAACTGGACAAACATTATAGTCATTGCTGGAAGACACCACCTAAGAGCAAAAAGAAAAAGTTTATAAAGGAGGCAAAAAAGACTCATTGCACTTACAAAACGAAAATATGGTGTAAGAAGGTAAAGGAGGAAAATTTCCATTTAAATTCTTAAATTCTTACCTGAGCCAGGGTGGCATCCGCACATGCTTTCCTAGCATCCTGCAACAGAAGAAAGTTATAGAACTAAGAAGTTCCGTACATTTCTTTATTTTTTTTTTTCAAGTTGATCAAGCACCCTTAAAGCAAGGTTCAGAAAGCATTTCTGCTTGACATCCAGAGGACCCACCCTAAATGCAGCATGAACATAATATGCTGTCTTCTGTCAAAACACAGTGACTATATTGAGCATTTAACTTCAAAATTTTTTTCTTCTTTTGAGAGAAAGGTAATATGATTTCACCACAAAGACAGTCAACCAAGGGAACTGCTTGTCCACACAGGCCGTCCAGTCTCTATCCCTGGAGGTTTTCAAGACCTAACTGGACAAAGCCCTGAATAACCTTACAGCTGACCTTATTTTAAGCAGGACGCTGTTTAACACTGGTTTTGGTCTGGCTGAGAAAAACTTCAGTAAACATGCACTTTGATCTAATCCATTCTGTGCATTATTTGTGTAATTATTTGTTTCTAAGCAATATTAAAGACCAAAAAAGTAATTTCCTAAAGCAGTTACATGTGACCATTCATCTGTACTGTGGCTTCAAGATCCACCGATACAATACGTACTCTGATTTGGTTTTTCAGTTGCTCAGCCTCCTGGCGTAACTGGTCAAGCTCACTCATTTTCCTGTGCTAAAGGTGTGCTTCACTGCCACCTCTGAAACAACCAGAAATCTGAAAGACAGGTAATAATAATGAGAATTAGTAGAAATCATAACTTGAAATTACTAGAGTAGACAAGTCTTTTCAACCAATCTCAAACAGCACTTGGAAAAACACAAATTGGTTTGTAAGTACCGGAATACATAAGAAAATATTTCTCTGAAATCTCTTCAGAATAAGGTGTTACCACACAGAGAAATGCTTAGCTTGTTTTCCCAGCCACAGTAAATGAAATATCATCTGGACTTACTCTTTTCCTCCAAGCCACTTCCCCCCCCCCCCCCCCCCTTTTGTTTTTTAATCAGTGTTTTTCTGATTCAGTTTTGTATAAACTCAAATTTCCCAAGAGTGAACCAGCAGATAACACTAACATTATTCATCAAAGTCAGGTCGTAAAAATAGAGTAAGGAATCCTCCTATCAAAGGATAAGCACCTTTAGTATTTACAGACTGACACAAGCACTTGCAAAATGCTATAAAAAGACCTATTATGAACACTGTCTGTAACACAGCAGTTATGAGAAATGTTGTTCTGATATCTGGACAAAAGGATATCACTCACAAATATTGTTCAGGACTGTACTTGTTAATCACCAAAATGTCTCCCTGAGATTTCCAGAATAGATTCTAACATTAATATGTTGTCAGAATAAAACTACTATTTTTTAAATGTTATGTTGAGGGGACAAGTTTGAGAAACTGCTTCCAACAGACATTTTCTCCCTCTAAGATTCTATTTTCCTAGCATCAATAAGCATCAAATTACTAACATATATCCCTCTGTCTGCTGTACTCTGTAGCCAGCAAGATAAAGGCTCAATAGGATGTAACTGTCACTGAAAACCTTCAACCATTGCCTATAGAGTTCCTCAACTACTGTACTGTTTTCCAATATAATAAACATTTTTAAAGATACAACTTATAGTAAGCATTTTAAAGATACAACGTATCTTTAAAAGCCACTGTTCCAGAAAGAAGTTACTGTTGGTGTTTTCACTACCATTCCATACCTACAACTCAGCTGTTCTTAAACTTTGTTTCAAAATCTCTGCAGCATGATACCATTATAAGATGCTGAAGAAACTTGCTGATGAAGTTTATTTTTTATTGCAGAACAAGATAATTGGTTCCATTTGCAAATGCTACATAGAGCACCAGGAGTTTATAAACAAACACTGATAGTGTGTTTTTAGAACATTTTATTAGCCAGAACTGATCCTTTACTATTAAATAAAGCAAATGCTTTGCTAGCAGTTTTACACATTATTCGGTTAAGATTTAATCAGCTTATTTATCTTTGCAAACATGCAGGTTTTGTTTTTTTAAAGCCCTTCCCAAGGAGAAAGATGAGGATAACTTCCAAATTTTTATTCAGTCACAGCAACAGAGAACATATCGTGAAGGCAAATTGAAGTTTTAGAGCAAACATCACTGTTGAAAGAAAAGATGTTTCCAAAGAGTTAATAAGATTTTAACATTCGCTAAATACTGCTATCCCACATAACCAGACTTATCTAAGAGCTCCCTTCATAGTAGCTGGTATTCCAAACAAAGGACCTCAAGGGACAAATGTCAGAATCTTGTCATAAAATCATTCACAAATTTATGAAACCCAAAATATTTTAGAAAAGGAATTTTAGTTAGCTTCTGTCTCAAAACCTCCATTCACACGACTTCAAAACCCTTTCACTTCATTGTGAAACTAGGTCTCTTCTTTCTCTCTTCTGGTTCCAGGGTCATCTTTAAGCCCCTTTAACATTGCTTGTTCAGCTTAGTCCAAAATCCAGTTAAGATAAAACCCATCAAGAATGTTCCATTATCCTATAGCCACCTTATTTTCTTTTGAATGCTACTTTGTTTCTGAAGTTGTTTTGTTCATTCTACATTTAAGATGAAACATTCCATGGCTCGGTATCTACCATTTTTACCATGCAGTCATCAGTCACCACTGCCTACAGCTCCTGGTGTTGTTCACACATACTGTGAAATAATATGTGCTACTCTTATGATAAAGGAATTAAGAAACTCTAAAGACTGTTCTTATGAATAAATGGCAAACCTTCAGATCTTTTAGCTTTTTGAAATCTAGTTCTATTTCTGCCATTCCCTAGGTTAATATATAAGCCCATTTCCCACTAAGCAAACACCAACCACTCCAGACAGAGTACAAAGAATTTAGAGATGGTATCATTCCTATTTCAGAGGAAAAAATTACGACCCAAAACTTAAGTGTTCTGCTCAAGGTCACAGCAACTCAGCAACAAGATTACGATAAAGATTTAGGACACCAGAATTCCAGCTGCAGAGTTACAGGTAACTACACTGGAGATTTACATACAGCTATATTTAAAAATATAATAGGATGAATAATCTAACGTCAGCCAAAGCAGATACATTCTCCTGTAACATACAGCTTAAAATAGTGCCGATTTATTTCTGCCAGAATTTGTGCACTGTGCAATAGAGTTCTCTCACATTTAAATTAAATCAAACTTCTTTGTATGGAACAGAAAGTGGCCTAAAGAAATGAACACTAATCCTAGGAAAAAAGTTGTATCGAGAAACTGGACAGAAACGGAACCCTGTAGTTTCCTTCTGGATTATTTGCACACTGAATTTAAAAGAAATCATATAAGATGACTTGATGCTTGTGCCTTATTGTTTAACATAGCATGCACGGAAGGGAAGAACTGCAAGCAACAAAGCCAGATGAAGCAGCCCAACAGCTTCAAGTAACACAGAAGCGGGAACATTGATAGAGCCATAGAAGCAGCTCTGATGGGACATTAAGTCACATTCCCCACCTGATGGAATATCATAGCTTAACTGGAATATACATGTCTGTCTTCACACAAATAAAACCTCCATTACCCTTTGAAATGCCTAGCACAGTAACTATACATATACTTATGCTACAGAAGAAACAGTCACATCAAATTCAAGACAGAACTCCGCCTCAGCACTTTGCCTCTATTCTCTTCCAAGTCCCACTTTACACAGGGGCAGAACAACCCAAACTCTTTGCAGTCTAAGAATTAATTAAGCACACTAACGGAACCCAACCTTCAGAGTCATTTCATAGAAGCACATTATCATAGAGTTAGTCAGGTATTCGTGCATAACCTGCCCTACCTACTTTGCAGCCAAGCTCCTAAAATGCTTTAATTTGTGAACCCCACATCAAGACAGTCACTCACTAATGTTTTAAGGAAGGCTTCCTTTTAATGAACAATTTCAAAACAGTTTATCAACACTACAGAAACCTTTACAACTACATGCAAGATATCGTCTCCATTATCACAGGCAGCAATGAGTTCAAGGAACTTAACAACTACAATTGTTAATGCAGTTTCTGTGGATCTTGGCCTTCAGTCACTTGCTAGGTAGGACTCCTGTTTCAATACTCACTGCATGACACTTAGTAGCTGAATGCATACAACCCCTGATATCTTTCCCATCGGTAACATCATACAGCCATGACAAGTTCATATCTTGAAGTTAGATATACTTTTAGAGTTACAAGTTAGCCCCTATGCATTCCAAGCAACTCCAACCTCTGAACTGCATTTCTGAGAGCATCCATAGGAATTGTTTCCACATTCCCTTTGTAGTCTTTGTAGTTTCAACATCAACAGGAAGTTCTAATTCCTGCCAACATGACCTAACTCACTAACAGTCAGGAAATGAAAATCCTAATGAAGCCAGGGGCATTAAAATATAGGAGTTCTCTGAAGCAGACTCTAAACTTCATGTGACAACCAGCTTGGCTACTCCTCTTTTACACTAAGTCTTAGGCAATTAGATTTATGACAGAAATAAGATCCATGGAGGAAAAAAGTTCCATCCTCTTGTGTACTTTTCAGCTATACTGTAAATCAGCAAAAGTTACTAGTACCTTGCATTAAAAAAAAAAAAAAATTAAAAAAATCTTTAAAAAATAATCAAGAACAAAAGGTAAGGTCAGGGAAACGTATAGGAAAACAAGTATTTTTACCTGTTCTCATTTGATACATGGGAAATTATTATACAGATTTATTCATATTACAAACAGAAGCAACAAGCAGAGACTGTTCAATATATGATCTATGTTCATCACAAACTAGCACAATTGAATATGATGAAATAATCTCTTTTTGTTTCTTGGCATGTTCTAAAGGCATTTAACCCCATTTTAAAAGAAGGTTTCTAGGAGAAACTGTAAGCTTGATCCGTATGATGGTTCTATTTCTGAGGTTTTCAAAGAACTTATTAAATTTCTAAATCAAGCAAGCCTCGTGCAAAAAGTCAAGTTCCACACTCCTTTTTTTCCAAATTACCACCATAGCTGTGAATAAATAGACAGCAGCTGAACTCATGCTTACCTCACTTTCTTTTGAATATGTTACTGTGTTCTTGAAGGCAGGCTTCTCAAGAATAACACGTTCACTTTGCTGAACTCACTCAAGACCTTTCCAGAGGCTGAAGCGCTTAAGCGTCTCTCCTCTTAGCCTAATTCCTCCTAATCTTGTTGACAAGTATACCTTGTAGATAATTCTCTCCTTGCTAGGGACAACAATATGCGTACTTGCAAGGTAGTTTACTGTTCTTCACTACTCCCAATGACCCAAGTCTCTAATCTCTTCTTACAAGTTACCCACAGAAGAGTCACTTTGCTCTCCTGTTTCCCACATAAGAAAAATCAAGTATTGACTTAACATAATTTGTTACTTTCCATATAGGATAAAACTTCACAGGTCACCTATGTCAAAAGGACTTGGGTCACTCATCTAAAAGTAACAACCTCTGGGTTTGTTTTTCTCTAAGGTATTTGAGCTATATTCCTGCATAAGAGGAAAGTTATATATGTCCAGGCAGTCAATTAAATGTTGAACATAGCACAAATTCTTTGAACCAAATAGAAAGCCTTATGAAATCTACCGAACTTCCACATACTTTCTGCAAATTGAGATATACTTAGGATCCTAGTATAATAATTCTAATTTAAAGGTAAAGCTCACTACTTGGAAAACCATGATAGAACAATTCAAAGTTCTCTCTGAAACCAGCTGGTAACAGCAGTGAGGCAATACTTACTAGACACTTTGTTATTTCATTTTCTCACACCTTTCCTGTAAAAAAATAGAGGATGGAGTTTTCTACACTTTCTTAAATAGCCTGGTCCTGTGAGTGAGTAATCTCTACAGATTAAAAGCAAACACAGATTTGAAGTCAGAGCTATCATTACGTCAACTATTTAGAACTTCTATCACTTGATGGCCTAACTTTGTTTGCTATAAGGTATTTTTACTACACATTACTACTACCAAAAGGTGAAAGTAATCCCACCAACCCATTGTTGATGTAAAGTCCAGTAACACAGAGGACTTTAAGTTATATTGTTAGAGTATTACCCAACTACAGTACTTCCAGAAGATTAGCCAAATCACCTTTCTCTCAAATGAATAGGCAGACTGATATTTGTTCCCCCAACATCTTTCCTGTAATATGCATCACTCCAATATGTACAAAACAGCCAGAAGAAAAGCAAAACAATCATTTGCAAGAACAGAGACAAAACTTTACAGCCTTAATAATGAGTTCATGTTATGCCTACCAGACTGTCTCATAGCAGGTCATCTGATTAAATGAAGCTGTACTAATCTATTAGATACCATAAATCCTATTAGTAACATACACAGAGGCTTGTACGTTTTCACAATGACAAAGTAATTATACACAATCCACCATTAGTTCCTATGTTTTGACATCATATTTGCTTTGAAAAGCTGAGGTTTTATATTATTTAATCAGAAGTATGTGTCAATGCACATTTGACTTCTATCCAACAGAAAACCCAGTAAGATAGATCAGAATTGCTTGTGGAACAAATGTGTGGTATTCTGTCTCCCATTTACGTGATCCAAAACAGAAAACAAAAAAATTCAGGGATGCCTTCTGATCCTGAAGTACACACATCTAACAGATATGGTGGTGACCAGAAAAAAGGTACAGATAATTTTATAAGTTAGAAATCCTAGAAAAGGTATACACAACACAACATAAGAAATATCACACGAGCTTCTGCAATACAAACTTAATTTGATGGAAAAAACACCTTATAGAACATGCACTGAATAGCTCATTATAGCTCAAAACCATTGGCTTAATACCCAGCCCTGGTTAAAACAAAAGGTTATATAGAAAATAGGACAGAAAATACTGAAAGTATCGTAATGCCACTGAGTAAAAGCAATGGTTTGCCTACACTGGGAACACCATGTTCAGATTCAGTTTCTGCTCCTCTAAAAAAGAACACTGAGGTATCTAGAGTTGACCAAGGTAACTAGTTAGAGAACACCTCAGAAGACAGATTTAGAGAAGGAGATGGGGAAAAAGCTAGCTTGCTGCTTGCTTTTTCAAAAACAGGTAAATATCTAGTAATTGAAAGTAATAAATTGAACTGAGCAAATACTTTCTACACAACACGGCTAACTAGTGATACTCCTCACAGACTAAGGGGCTTCAGAAGAGGCAGAAACATTTGAAGTTATAGTCTGGAAGGTAATCAAGGTTTCACTGTTCCAAGAATACTAGTAGTAATTATGAATACACAGAATATAAACTCTGAAAATTTTAGGTTCTGTTTAAATAATACTGACACATTGAAAAGAACATTCTGACAAGAGCCACTTCGCTCAAAAGAAGTTTGGCCTTCTTTTGTCAAACATGGTAGATAAGTAATTTTTCATTCAGGAGAAAAACTATTCTCATAATTTTATTTATTACAGTTCCCTGTCCCACTGAGATGAAACAGTTTCATCTACCATCTCCCTCTGCTTTGCCAGTTCCATTTCTGAAAGAAGGCAGGCACTAACATTTATTATTTAGCAGGTTTCCTGGCCATTTTAAAATCCTTCCTGTTGACATAAGAATACACACGCTAAAGCAGAAAACACATACTTTAGGTTTGCACAGATTAACAGCTAAAAACCTGAAGTTAGCTGCTTTTTAAAAATAGTATGAGTTTCTCAAGCACTGCAAAAAATAAATTACCTTATTTCTCTACTTACATTTTCTGTCACTACAGTAGAAATCCAACTTCTGCTGTCAAACATGTAAATTCTGGAAAAAAAAACAACAAAACCAAACAACCAGGATTAGTACAATTATCAAGAAATAACAACGATTTCTTAACAAATCTAGCAGAATTTCAAATGCTATCAAAGCACAGACTATTTTTTGTTAGCTCATGTTAACAGCCAGCTTCTCTTCATGAGGGAAATGGACATTCCTTTAATAATACTAACATAACCAAAAGACTTGCTCATGTCATGAAGCTTTGAACAGTCTTTTTCCAAGAAAAATTTTGCAATCCTTAGGTCATTAATTTTCCTCCCCTGGTGATACACAAGTCCATACTACTAGAGTTTAGGATTGTAACAATACAGTACAAGTCATAAAAGACTAATTTTCACTGCACTATAAAGTGCCCCCCCATCTGCATTTTCAAAGAATTGAAATTATTTCTGCTCAATCCTGTTCCTAGGGTATACTTGCTTTCTAAGCACAGTTAAACATCAAGATATCTATTTTATCAAAAGAAGTTAGATAAACCTCCTACTAATGAGCTCAAGGGAGTACAATACTCTTCTAGAAGAGTTACAGCTTCTCATCACTCAGATATTGAAAAGTAAAAAGGTAAAAATTGACACACTAAGTAACTAACACACATTCTGGAAGACTGTAATGATTTAACATAAAATTGCCTTTGTAGCAAGGTTTAAAAACTTATTTTAAGAAATTTCAGAACATTTTTTTTCCTCTGGCAGCACAAAGTAATAATTACAGTTCACCCCAAGATTGGAAACACTGACAACCGCTTATACATTCAGAACATCTGCGATCTGTCTCTATCGCACAGCAAGACAAGGGCTATGGGTGATGTCAATGAACACCTGAGGGTACATCTTCAAAGTCACTGCATCAGGACAGTGGATTATTATTCTACGCACAAAGCAAGAATGTACCGAAGCAAAATAATCTTAAATCAGAAAGCCAGTCTACAACTTCATATACTTTAAACTGAAATGCTTACATGTAATGTGTCTTTCTGATTTTACAGTTCACTATTAGCTGGAAAATTTACAAAACACTTCAGTGTCTGCTATGGAGGTTAAGCTACTTAGGATATGGATCATCCTCATCCAAACTCATTTATAGATGAACAGTTTAATACTGTGATTATGAAACCATCAGATTGTAAGCAATTTTGTTTGTTACTGCCAAAACAACACACTTTTAGACATAAAACAGTAACTCACACAGACCAAACTCCACCCCCACCCCACCTCCCCCAAAGACACAAACACATGACATGACCATTTTAAGTTCTGAAAAAAGATCGGCTATATCCAACTTTCAGAAGTCTTGACAGAAAAATTTGCCCATACTGCAGAGATTATGAAATCTAATGAAATTCTGAAAGAATTTACCTGAAATGTAAACAAGTAAAATTATGCTGGAACACTAACAGCACACAGAATACACAATAGCAAAGGCCAAAACACACACCATTATTGTCCTGTGCTGCACCCTCATTAATGCAGGAGAGGTGTTGCAGATTTCATATGCCTTCTGCAAAAAAGAAAAACAAAAACAAAACAAAAAAGCTACTTTAACCAGCCTGCAAGAAGAGTAAGGAAGCATAATAGCAAACTTTTCCACAAAGTTTAGTTTATTTTCTTTATACCAGGTTAAGTTTTCAGTTAGGTATGCTGAAAGCATCCTGTGATGCCTGCAGAATTCAATGCTGGCAACTGAGATACTTTCAAGTCTACATTAAAGATGGAGTTCATTTAAGAACAAAAGTAGACAAGCTACTTGAAAAAAAAAAAAAAAGATCTGCATTGCCACAAGCTTCCACATTTAGCTAAAATGTAGCCTGGTAAAAGCAACATGAAAATTACAGACCAACTCATTCACCACACCATAGTACTAGTTCAGCAAAGAGAGAGTTCTTGTAACCAGCTTCATACACTTTGCCTTAATCAGCCCTTATAACCCTGCTTTGCTGAGAGCTTGAGGTTCTCAACATCAAGAACTGGAGTTTCTAAAACAGGAGAGAACAAAAAGTACCACAGAATACTTGAAGCACGGTTCAAGTGGTTAAACCATTATACCAAAGCACCTGGAGGTCAGCCAGCCCTACACATGGTTGGTGTACCCAGCATCCCCACATTCCCACAGCCTTCTGCTCCAAGCAAAGCAGCACAGCAGTTTGGACTAAAAAAACCCAAAGAATCATCATTTCTGGGTAAAGCTTCCCTACTACAGGTACTCACTAACTTTTGTCAGCCTAACATTCGTTTTGCTTTAAAAATACTGAAATAGTTATACTAAGGTGACAATCCAGCCTCAAAATTTATCTCAACTCCAACATCCACCAGAATACAAATCTTCACATGAAGAAAACTCTTCTGCAAAAGCGACTACAACTTTTTTCATGAGTTTGGGGAAAGCAAGGAAGAAAAGGGGGAAGAAATGAAGGAAAGGAGCTTTTAACAGTAGGAAAAGCAATTAGAAGTATTTTATTTTAACATCATAGCACATCTGAACAACCGCTCAAAATTAAGTGAACTCCTAAGAAGATTAAATACATTCACTGTAGCCCTCTCCAGAGCCATTAGATGTGTAAACACATTTATTGAATCCACAGGTCCATAAAAGAGACTTAAAACCCAAATATTCTGGATGTTAGTTCCACCTGCACACCTTCTTAAGACTGCTTTACACATGCATTGACTAGATGTCAAGGCCAGTATTTGAACTGCAGCAAAAGCATTCTAGCTTCTTAAAACACACCATCAGTTCATACATAACCTGATGTGAGGCCAGGCACAGCACATCAGACAAGACATCTCCTCGCTGAGGGTTTGGCTCCGTCCCAGGACAAGGTTTGATCAGGCTTCATGAACAGATGCCCCTGCTGCAGGGACACGGAGAGAGCACAGGCAACACCAATTCCTCTTTAGCAGGGAGATCTCCAGCAGCGCTGCAGGAGGGATCCCACCCCAAACCAGTCCCAAGAGAGGCACACCACTTCATGTTTTGGGGGTCCTGGCTGACTGCAAGCTGAACATGAGCCAACAATGCTCCCTCGTGGCAAAGCCAGCCAACAGCATCCAGTGCTGCACTGGGAAGAGCATTGCCAGCAGGTCAAGGGGGGGTGATCCTTCCCCTCTGCACAGCGCTGGTGAGGCCACGTCTGGAGTACTGTGTCCAGTTCCATGCTCCCCTGTACTCAAGAGGCATGGAGCTACTGGAGACAGTCCAGAGAAGGGCCACAAAGATGATTAAGCAACTGGAGCAGCTCTCACGTGAGGAGAGACTGGGACGTGTTCAGCCTGAAAAAAGCTCAGAGGGGGATTTTTATCAGTGTGTGCACACTTCTGTATACGCATGTATTTTGAGTGGCTTTATAACGTAGCTTAAAACATAACCAACACTAGGTAAAAACTAATCTCCATGACCATTACAACATTTGAATCTTGGAAGTTTCTTGTATAACACATCCTCCTGCAAGAGTGGCACATAATTTTTTTTTTTTGTTTTGTTTTTTTTATCCAAGGCACTTAACCAGAGATGATTTCAATGAAGGGGAAAAAAAGGAAAAAACCCCAAAACCTACCTAGCAAACATCAATATTACTATTAAGGTAAAACAACAATTTCAAATGAAGTTACTTTGCTGCTCTGGTCTATCTTCTGTATCAACACGTACCCATCTGAACGGGATGCATCCTACACCCAGCGAGGATGGCTGTACGTAGGCAGGCAGCAACTAATTTAGCATGGAGATGCTTCTATTGAGGTACCCAATACTTATCACCACCATAATATACCAACTACATGGTAGAGAATGTCTGTGAAACCAAGAATTGCAAGTTTATTGAAATTATTTCTTACAGTCTACATAGCTGATCATTATCATAGAACAGTATCTCGATGTCCAAGAGATTACACAACCTTTCCAAATCACTGCCAAAAACATGAAATTCCACTTGTGCCACCAGGCAACAGTAATTAGAAGTCTGAAACTTAAAGCTATGCTTCAAGACTATGCTGTATGCAAAAAAGCCCCTATCCTCCATTTGATAAGCTTGGTCCTAACTATTAACATAACTAGCTCTATCAGGCAGCTGGAAACGTGAAGGACGTTTTGATATTTGCATGTATTATGTGCTCTTCCAAGAGTTAATTCTAATTCATACTTCTCTTGTTGAGTACAGATCTGTATTCCAGAAAGCCTAGACTTTGCTGTCACCTCCTACAAGAGCAGCTTTGAAGGACAGCCTATAGAACTATGAAATAGTAATTACAAATTCATAAATCCAAATATGCTCAGGCAAATGGATACAACCCGTTCTCATTTATTTGATACCTTCTTTCTGGCAATCATCTGCTGTGTCTATAATTTCCAGGCACATAAGCTCTGAAAAGCAAGCAATATATTACTAACAGGTTTGCCAAATGGATTACCCTAGTAGGGACAATGCTAGATTGTATAACTCCTTCGAAAACTTACTGAAAACACTTCTGTAGTCAAAGGCTAGCATGGCTGGACTGTTTCTGTGGGAGGTATTGGCTGCTGCTTCTGTTGAAGAATTGCCAAGTTCCCAGCTGAAGCAACCATTGTGCTCAGTAGACATTTTTCCATATATTAGTGTGCAGTACACACAAAACAAGGGAATATCAGGTCGTTAAGTGTTAATGTTCATTATGCAATAGTTACATTAGCTGGTTAAAGAGCTCACAAATTTCCATTTTCAATATAGCATGCAAGCACAAAATAATAATTAAGCTAAAAATACTTGTAACTGAGCAAACAGATTCACAAATGCTTCATTATTACATATAGCTCAATTCTTGAATTACAGGTCCCATTTTAACTAAGCAGCTTTCTACAGGGGTCACCAACGTTAAAACTTCAAGATTTTGTGTGTAAAAAAACCCTGTAGAATACCTGATAATTCAAGATTCTAAAAGAATTACTTTTATTGTGTTTGCTCTGTCCAAAACCAAGTTCTTCTGGTAAATTAAATGCTTCACCTGTTTCCCATGCACAAGATTGAGGAAAATTCATTCAAGCTCTGCTCATGACTTTATATAAAGTTGCAGTACTATTAGGAGGTATGATCTTTAAGATTACAACTGACATGTCCTTCCCCCACTATTTCTAGTAGTAGAAATCTGGAAATGCTTTTTTCCTGGACAAGTCTGTGCACTTTTTCTACTCTGCTTGACGTATCTAGAAGACTTCATTAGAAAAAAAATTCTCTCATAGCTGTGCAGAACACAGGAAAATTGCTGGCTAAAGAACAAAGGTCACTTCTAGGGTCCTTCCAAAGTTCTGGCTACATTCCCTCATCCTGTAACCTTATTCACACAAAACAGCACATGCAACAGGAAAATCCAGATATAACAGATCTCCATGAAACAGCTTCTGACCAGTCAAGACTGCTTCCATCAAACTGCCCTCAATTATGCAGTTAGGACAGCAGTTTTAGCACCTTGGAATCCCCATCCCTACCCGCAAACCAAAAAATCTCCAACCCATCCACCATAAATAGCTGCTAGTATTCAGAAAAAAGAATCATTTAAGCTTTTAATTCAGAAAATTCAGGGGAGAAGCCAGATATTAAGAAACCTAGAAACCTTGCAAGACTTCACAAAGCCCAAATTCAGTAAGATAGTTTCACATTCAAAGCCCCAAATTTGAATTGGTCTCAGAAAAACACTGCATTTTTGTCTCCTGCAAAAGCATTACAGAGTAATTCACAAAAAAGTTAACTACTATGTGCAAATTCCTCTATATGCCAGAGGTTATTACCACACAGTAAAGCAACACAGCATCTACTGAAAACCAGCAAACTCCAGCTATATGTGCATAATCCATCTGCTTTTGCTTGCATGCCTAGATTTTCTAAGACTTGAGGAACTATCACGCCCTACATTTAACAAACATTTGAAAATTAACCTTTTGGATAGTTTACCACTTTTTCAAAATAGAATACTCAGCAGCAGACAACAATGCTTACAATCATGGCAGGGACACGTGCTTGCAATAAGCAGCTCTGTAGTGGAGTAGCCCATCTCCAGCCACCAACAGTGAGCAAACTCAAGCTGTCTTCGTGGAAGATAGCATCCCTATGTTGCCAAAATACTCACATTTCCTGATGCTAATCCCATGACCTACATTTTAAAAAAAAAAAAAAAATTTTACTGATGCAATATTTAAGCATAAAAATCTGGACTGTAACAGGTCACTTCATTAATCCTTTCTAAATGCAGCTGCAAGCTATGTGCATTATTTAAAAAAAAAATCTTAATTCTAGGTATAGCAAAGAATTTATGTAAAAAATTAAAGAACTAATTATTACAAGTTTAACAGATGCCTAAAGGCAAATGCTTAAAACCCGTACTTTTTAAAAAGAGGGGTCTTAGAAGATCTTCGAAGTAGTTCACAAATGGTAGTAACTGTTGCTTCTTTAGTGACCCAAGTCAAAAGATTTCCTAACTACATCTTTTCTGTCTTGCTCTGAACAAAATTCACATGTAAGATCATTCCAACACTTC